TTCTGCTTTGATGTTGGCACTTACAGATTGGTTTAGAGTAGAAGCTCACTGTCTAACATAGGTGATAGGTATTGGGAAGTAATTGTAAACATTGTATATGTAGTTTTTGGTATAAAGACATAACACTGCCCTGGGGGCAGAATGCCTTGGACTGTCTTGCTGAGTTGACCTCGGCAGGATAGGAGAAATAATTTTATAGATAAGAAACAATAAACAACCTTGAGACCGAGAAATGAAGAGCCCTGACTCCTTCTTCAAGAGCCAGGCTGGGAAAGGAGACTTTCTAACTTTTCTTGGGGTCACTCTGACAAGCTAAAGATTCCAACAGTCACCCAGCAATCTGCACACCTGCAGAGCCCAGAGGACAGAACCTGGCCCAGAGTAGGGCACTGTCCTGCTGTAGGCCACCACAGAACTCATCCCCCTCCCTGCAGGGCTCACCTGGCCCTGCTGCTGCTGCTGCTGGCGCTGTTTCTTCTTGTGGGCACTGCCAGAGGCAAAGAGGGGCCCTGGCACGCAGCTGACCACGGCGGGCATGCCCGAGCTGCAGGCTGCTGAGGAGTTGCCCCGGTAGAACTCAAAGGAGCACATGGACAGGTGCACCTCTGTCCCTGTGCAGGACACCGAGTGCAGGCGGTAGTTGAGCTGCTGCCGCTCCGTGAAGAGCCTGTGAGGGGAGAGGAGCCCTGAGGCACAGCCAGAGTGACCAGTGGCAGTGGAGGTGTCACCAGCCACCCTGCCTGCAGCTGCATGTGCTGGCTGTGTCCCTTGCTGTGTCCCCAGGGTGACACACGGTGCCTGCCAGGCAGCCACCCCTGGCCAGGTGCCTGTGCCACACCCCCAGCAGCACAGGGACACACGTGGGGACACTCCTGCCTCTGGCTCTCCACTGAGCCATTTACCTCTTCTTGGGCCCTACGTCCTCCCTGCGCTTTTGTTTAGGCTGAGATTTGGAGGCCAGCCTGGAAAACAGAAAACAACCATCACAAAGCCTGGGGTTTCAGGCTGTCACCTCTGCCCTCAGCAGTGACACAGGGAGCACAGCCTGCCCTGGCTTCACTGGAGGCTGAACTGGGCACCTTGGTACCCAGGAAAACTCTTGTGCATCCCCTTTGTGTCACGCAGGGGTGCAACAGCATCATCTGCTGCCAGCAGTGTGACACAGCCACACTCCACAGCAATGATGCAGTTTCCTGCATGCATCCCACCAGGAAACTGCTGCATGCAGCCACATCCTGCTCTGCCTTGTCACAGACCAAAAGATCAAACACCAGCAGCCACCATTTGATCAGTCAGGTGTGGTTGTGTCTGTGTCCTCATCCAGACACCATGCCACCACTGTGCCATGTCCCCAAGGTGCAGGACACCCACCAAGCAGCACAGGCAGCCCCAGGGTGCTTGCCATGGGGCATGGTGGGACTTGCTGCAGGCTGGCAAGGACTGCTGCCAGCGAGGGAAGCAGCCCTGGCACAGGCTGAGCCATGAGGGGAAGCTGCTCAGCACACACAAGGTGTAGGTGCAATCCCAACATCCTCAAATGCTTGTTTCCCTCAGGGAGGAAGATGTTGAGCAGAGCCAAAACCCCAGAGCCCACAAGGAGTGAAGAGCAGAGTGGCCCAA